CTCGGTGCAGGGAACTCGCCACACTCAGAGAGGTTCCCACTCCCGCAGGGGCCCTTTGATCAGGGTGCTGGGCTGTCAGCACAACAGCGTCCCTGTGAGGATCATGGTGCCTTCAGGCAGTGGGAAGTGAGGGGTCCAGTGGCACTTAAATTAACTGTGCACTCGAAGCCAACCCCCGTCTCTTTCAGCCCGTTTCCTAATCTGCAAAACTGGAATGATGTTAACCATCCCGCAGGCTCGTTGATGGGCTGGGACACACTAGACAGCCAGGAGCTGGAATTCCTCTGTCCCCTGATTGTTTTCCTTCCTTCGCACTATTTGCTCTCACAATCTCAGTCTCTCTGTCTCTCTTTCATTCACTTGCAACTTTCTCTTCTGCTCTGGTTTCATTTGATTCCCATCCTCCTCCCAATCCCCAGATGAGTAAAATTAATTTCTGTGTGTCAGTTCCAAATTCCCGGGAAAGATGCTCTGTCCCTTCTGGATTGGTTTTCCAACCCATCTGTTGCTGTCAGAGGATTGAGTCCCTCTGTGACCAGTGGAGGGGCTCTGCCCAGCCCCCAGCCACCACTGTGGGAGCACATAGCTCTCCGAATAGAAGGTACTGGCTGTGACTTGGTGTCACTAAGTGTGAATTTATGTCTCCTCTTGCCCCACCTTCATCCTCCTAAACAAAGATGAAAATTAAACACTCCCGAGATTTGTGTCGTGGAACACTCAGGGTGGGGGCTAAGAGGGTTGGATTCCCTGCAGAGTGTAAGGGGCTACAGTGGCTCCCCAACGAGAGCCTGTAAAGGAAACAGCACCGGCCCAACCGGACACTTAGAGCGCTGAGTCTGCGTGACATTGAGCCAGGCTTCTTACCACAGCTCAGGGGTCTGGTTCGACAGGTTAGTCTTTGAAACTAACCAGCTTTAGATTCCTCAATCCCTCCCTGAGGTTTTACCTGAACCACCAGCTTCTGTATCTCTGAAGACAGATGATGAGGACCCTTCACGTAAGACATTTGCACAGCACTGTGCGGGAATTTGTGCTGCACGGTGTGCCCGGCAAGCTGACCAAAGTTGGTATTTTACTGATCTTAGAAATAGTCTGGTTTCCTGATGCACTGTATCACTGAACAAGCAACAGAAGCCACCTCTGGCTGATGAAAGCAAAAAAGGGACTTAATGAAAATATACTGGGTGGGTGCATGGAGTGGCCCGGACCAGAGCCGACACGGGGGCTGTAGGAGATGTTGGAGAGTCCCAGGCACCAGGCTGGGCAGGGTGCTACCGGGCCCCCTGCTGCCCCAGGAGGGATCCCCCCTCCTCCTGACACTCCACCTCACTGCAGGTTCATGTCCTGGTAGTGCCAGGTCACTCTGAAGCCACCGGCACACACCTCAATGGGGGAGTTGGCCCCGTCTCAGCTGAGAAAGTGCCCAGTGTGGGGAGAGGCCCAGTTAGAGGAAGGCGGGTCCCCTACTGTTCCGAGTTAACATGCAAGTCAGTGCCCATCACTCGGGAGAGCCAGGCTGGTCTGACCTCATTGTGGTGACTAGGCAATCTAAGTTCACTTATTACTTTTTAGGTTGGAAGGCCCAAGAGGGAGAAAAAGTGGATGTACTAGTACTTATTTTATATTTCCCATGTACCAGGTATAGTAACCAAGCCACTTCAGACAAGGCCCAGAACAACCAAGTAAATAGTCCACGGAGCAAGTCGTGCAGTCAGGCCTCTGCGGCCCCAAAACCCGTGTCTTCATCAGCTCCGTAGTTACCAGTGGAAGTTGTAGGGATTTATGGGACTGTGTGCTCCTTTGGGGGCTGGGATGTGTATGTTTAAATCCACATCTTCAGAAACTCAGCTAGAACCACAGCCACTGATTGTCTGCATGGAGGCAGAGGAGGAGAGGCTTCCAGCCTCTGGTCCAGCTTGTGAGGAGCTCAGAAGTTGCTCCTTCTGTCCTGAAAACAATACCAGAGCTGCAAACCCACTGCGCTTCTTAGATCCACAAGAAAACTGAGGGGGAAAGCTGCTCCCAACCCAGAGAGGCAGCTGGGTAGGCTTGGAGAGTCACAGCTCCCAGGGCAGAACCTGCTTTTGTAAGAACCCTGGGGGCAGGCAGATTTAACAGGTCCCTGAGGCTAGCTTGAGGCTCAGCATGGGGAATTCTGAGTGTGACAACTCCAGGGGGCCAGTCAGAGATGCCCCAGGCTCTTTTTCATGCATTTTACCTCCAGGACCATACCCTGTTCTCAGAGTGAAGATCATAGGAAAATTCCTCATACTTCCTGCCAGG